ATGCCCGATGTGCCTGACGGCGGGCCCCGTGGTGCGCGTCTGTATGGGCATCGAGCCCGCATTCTACGTCGACTCCGGCCCGCCCACATACGCATTCAACCCCTGCGGACACATGGCCTCCGAGAGGACCGTCAAGTATGGCTCTTCTACTTTTTCATCATCATCAGCTCGTCCTCTTTCCTGCTGGTATCTAAATTCACTCCCTTCTTAAGGATATCCTCTTTCATAAGATCCATCCATACTTTCCTCGGTCATATTTTAGCCATCGAATCTCATTACGTTCTTGTTTATATTATCAGTCAAATGAAAGAAAAACTGATTATTAGCCTATGTGTTCTTCCAGGCTATGTTCTAAATCTATGAAAAATTTTAGCAAAATCGGTTTAGTTATTTTAGACAAATTAAAAAACAAATATTCATCCATCTAAATAATAGTAGGAATTAAAATTGCTTGCTCTAATATTGTTAGCACTTTTAGTAATATTTAGATAATTTTATTGAGGTTTAATAGCAATATGTGTTGTGTAGGTACTGGGCGAGTGTGGACATCCCGCACGGCACGAACGGCTTCCACGCGATCTGTCCCTTCTGCGCCGCCCCGCTGCAGGGCTCACCCGGATACGTGCGCCTCATCTTCCAGGACAACCTCGACTGAATCTCATCCCAGCCCATACCACAACACACAACACACACACACGTAAGTATTTCCTATCTTATTTATCTCTCTCTTTCTCTCACACTACACTGACACTAAGGAAATTTGCCAAAGTTCAAAGTAAATCGATTTAAATAAAAGGATATTTAAATTAAGATGTCAACTTTTTTATTTATCGACTTATAAGAGGACCATTAAAAAACGGAATTTTTTACTATTCAGAATTATGCAATTTACCCTTGGTTTTTCAGAAGACTGGAGACCAAATTTCTGTATAAAATATATTTGAACCGGGGATTTTGGTGTCAGAAACCCACTGTTGTTTACTTAGGAATCGAATTTAATGGAATGTCAACTTTAACCATTTTTTTTATTACAGATCCGCGTATAGAACTATACGTAGGACAGTGCATCGATAACGAAGGCACAAAGACATCACTAATGGCTAGACTCGGCTATGGACTTATTACATCGCTTGATAAATGGGAAGAACAACAACGGCCATGCATCGGAAAAAAAATTCGTATTGACAGTTTCAACAGTCCAAGTATACTTGTTTACTTAGTTTATAAAATCATGTCATCTCTCAATTTCTCATTGAAAAAACAAAGACAAAAATAGGTATAAATAATGTCCACGACAATCAAACATCACGGTTACTGGGAATTAATGATCACACTGTAGCAATGTACATTGATTTGGCACTTCAGGAACTTGTGGACTGATCTGCCTGACGTGCCAACTCAAGTATCGTGTGCTTTTTATTTTTTTTAATATTCAGATTAAATTAATCACCTATATTTCTAATAAGGTTGATTCTTTTTGAATAAATCTGTCCATTCTATTATAAACCGTATGCTAAAGCAACAAGGTACAAAATAGAATAATTTTTCAAAAAGTCAAAAGTTCCCAGTATGTTATCATTCAGTATAAAATGTTTAAAATATCGATGCATTAATATGATTATTTAAGACTGGAAATTCACCAAAGTTGAAATTATCAATAAAACACATTCTATGCCACCAGCACATTCAGCAAGTTTACTTAAATTGTACGTGAAATAGTGGCATTGAATGTTTTAAAATAATTGTTCTAGATAAATTTTAGCTTTGTGTCGACATTTTGACATTCAACAATGGATTTACCGATTTATTAAATCGATTTAAAAACTTACCAAAATGAGAAAATATTTTGTAAATATTATCTCTTATCGATAAAAACACTTCCAACACTATTCATAAGCAACTTTGGAAGTAAATGATTTAGACATTTAATAATTTGCAAAAATTAAAGGTACGCGTCTATTGATCGCCGGACGCACCACACGCACGGTCCGCAATGGATTTTAATTTGTATATTTTACATAGGGCTGTATCCATTATCCACGCAACCCGCATCAAGACAGAGCAAATCCGTTTAATCCATGCATTGCGTCCGAGTGGACCAATGTACGTGAACCTTTAAAATCGATTATCGTCCAGCTTTCATTCTCTGGCGTCCATGAAGCTATCAATCTTCATTTATGTACCTACGAATGCATGTATGTGCATACATACATACAGTTTCATTATTTTATATAGATAATCGTTTTAAACATGGCGAGCTTGGAATTTTTCAATATTCAGAT